ATTGGATTTTTCAAACTGTACTTAAAATTCAGATTTAGTCAGAAAACAAACCTTAAATAATCCAAATGGCTCAAACAAAGAGGTCAAATATTCAGCCAGAAAAACCATCAAAAGTTTGTTGACGGTCATGAATACCAAGTCGTGGAGGTTCAACTTGTTAAAAGACAAAAAAAATAAAAAATAAAAAATAATTGCACTGTATGTGTAGTTTTGACTATGGATTAGAAAAAAACCCACATAAGAATTGGATTGGCTTATATAAATTTCACTATGAAAAAGGAACAAGACTTTTACTCTCTTCCTGGGCATATGCAAACTTCTGACCCCCAGTCTTGAGAAACAAGTAAGCAAGCTCCCAGATAATGAAATCAACCCACATACTGGCTGCCGTTTATCTTATACCTCAGAAGAAATGTCATCATTCTTTCTCGACACATTCCTCCATGTCTTTTTTTTCCTGCTGACTGTGAGACGAGCCTAACGGGCGTGGCATGACTCCTATATGAACCTTCTATCCTATTTCAACATCTGAATGCTGAACAGGAGTCAGAGGATTTTAATCAGTTTCCCACATGATGCTATGACGTTGATGTTGGCTGTCGGTGGCCGCTGTCCAACATATCACGCTGAAATCTAGGACGTAACAAGCAAGAGTTCTAACTAGGAGCCAGAGACCAACACAGAGTACCTTGAAGAAGGACTTTTCCTCTTGCAGATTTATTCTGTTTTTGCCACACTGAAACATTAAAATTATCATGCTTTCTAAGCTTTATCAGTATTTGTGACAAGAACTGCATTAAATGTTTGTAATAGCTAGCAATGGGTTATTTTGATCACTGCGAAGGAATTTTGGCCCATATTTTTTGTGTAATTGATTTAATTCACCCATGCTGAAGCATGAACAGCCTATTTTCCATTGCATCTCAAATAAATTTAATTCTAACGTTCAACTAGGCCACGTAAAGACATTCATTTATCAAAAGACATTCACTTAATCGAAAAGCGGTTAAACTGAAGGTGCATTCACACCAGTCCATTTTAGCTGGAATCTAGTTACTTTGTCTAGAGAGTCTGGGTCATTTGCAAAGGTGTGAATGCACAATGAACTCTGATCTGGATCAAAAATGCAAACTCTAGTTCGCCTAAAAATCTCAGTTCAATTAAAGTGAACTCTGGTGCAGTTTGAATGTATACATGGAAACAAGCAGACTGGAGACCGCTCCCAAAAACAGGAAGCAAACTACAGTGCAGGGGCATTCTGGGTAAATACAAACCAAACAACTGTGCAAGTCTAGCACTAGAGGAAGAAATGTCTTGTGGTTTTCAACCAAACTAAAGACAATAAAGAAATCCTACTCCAGTTTTGTTTACAATGTGTGAAAAGGGAGGTCGTACTCATCTCTTCAGAGTTTTTCAGGTCGTTTCCTTCAGTGGTTCTTGGTGCAGCGCCCTTATAGGCGAGGGGGGTAACAGGTTTTGCAAAAGTTTTGGACTGTCTGACAGTGCAGTGTGAAAGCAGCTGAAAATGTATGAAATGTTGCAATTTTGGTCCCCAATCAAACCTTAAAGTCAAGAATGACTATCATGTTATGCTAACAGCTCAGTTTACAGGCAGCAGAGACAACATTCCACAGTAATAGACTCTGGAGGACACAATCAGTTGTTAGCAAGTACTGCTAATCCACCTCTTTTGCTTTTGTGCTCCTCTTTAAATCTCTGTCTGGCCGTATGGTTAGGAAGCCGGGCAGAGAGACGTTGAAATAGGGGATATGAACCTTACCCATTCTGACAGTTGGAGGGGATGGAAGGGAGCATTCTTTTTCTCTTTCTGCTCTTTGGTCCTGTTCTGCTCTTTCTTTTCAACTCCTCTGGGGTTCAAGGTCATGGTTCAGGTGCGACATGAGCTTTTGAGATGCTGATCAAGCCACTCCCAGTTGTAAAAAACATTAACTTGTTGCTACGGTTATGCATCATCACAACTGCCCAAAAGTAAACAGCAGCAGGAAAAAAACGTTCTATCTACACAGTGTCAAAAACCAGAGGGAATAATTATCCAAACATGCAATATCTCAACAAAACAAAACAAAAAAGAAAAACAACTATGAACAAAAATCTACAGGAACAAATCCGAATCAGCAAATATAAGACGAGCCCTTTATGTTACCTTTAGTCACACGTGGTTTTTGGCCTGGCACTCTCCCATGGATGACATTTTCTTATTGGTTAATCGTGAACACTGACCCTAACTGAAGCAAGTGAGGCCTGAAGTACTTTAGATGTTACTCTGGGATGTTGAAATGGGATCGGAGTATTTCTAGAAGTTCTCCCAGTCCTCGGAACATCGCTATACTGTGTATAATGGCTCTCGTTGGAGTCCTAAAGCCTTAGCAACGGCTTTGTAAACCGTTCCAAAGTGACAGATGTTAATGACATTATTTCTCATCCAACTTTTGATTTTTTTTAGATCAGGGGATGATGATGTGTTACATTTTGAAATCTGTTTAGCCTACTTCATGTTGCTTTTGTCCCTTAATAAATACATTTCTAGGGGTTCACCGATCCACTTTTTTCACTTCTGATACAACATTTATATTTAGTATTGGCTGATACCGATCTGATACAAAAAAATCGGTGATGAATTGACTTGAAACGTTTCTCTTTATGAATTACAAATGTGTTTGATAACTCTGCATTAGTATAGTACACTTAAATCTACCTACCAACAGCTTCACAAGCTTGGTCAAACATGAAAGAACAACTCATTTGCTCAGTCAGTGCAATTAGGAGTAGAACAGCCAATGTAAAATATATACTACAGAACCTGAAACTAACAAAAACAATAGACTGACTACCTTGGTCAAAAAAGTAAAAAATAAACTACAACAAACCTTCTTTTAAATGGTTTATAAAGTGCAATTAGGAAATCTAAATCCAATGTAAAATAAACAATAAAGCATGACAATGCTGAGAGTACAAAGCATAGAATTAGACTGAATAGATTTGCTCTTATAGATCTATTGCCACCAATACGCAATCTAGAATTTTTTTTTTATATCAGGATTGATGAATACTGGATTGATGCATCTCAACAAAAACTGTTTCTCTTGATTTTTTAATTTATTCAGGCTATTTCTGATGTCAAAATTACGTTGTTGATCCAAAGCATAAATAAATTAAAAAAAGAAGATTCAGTGTGATTCAACGTGATTCAGCTGTATAGCTTTGTACCTGCATGGTGCTGGTGAGCCTCTTTATTTGCTGCTTGAGCTCCACCACTTCTTGCTCTCGCTCTGCTTTCTCGGCCTGCAGTCGTCTCTGAGTTCTTTGATATTTCTGGAAGTCTAGGTTTAGTCCTTCAACCTCCTCTTTCAGAACGTTCTCTCTGCTCCTGGCTGCTTTGGCCGACTCCTTTGCAGCTTGAAGTTCTTCGTTCAGTTCCTGTACCCGTGCCTACAAAATAAAATAAAATAAAATAAAAAAATTACATAAGATCTTAATTCTTGAGCTGAAAATTGTCCTTTTGAATCCGGTTTTTATCGTATTTTCATTTGTAAAATAGAAATATCTGGATGAATATTTGGAAAAATTAAATGTTGTTGTAACTCATATTAATTAAAATTCTTCAAAGAGTTATTGCAATTCTCTATGCAATAATAAAAAATAAAAAAAAAATTAAAAATAATAACCCTGGACAGGTCGACAGTCTGTGACAGGGATTAAAGTTTTATTTAAAAATTTTATTTTAAATAAAAATTTTAAATGAAAATTTGTATTTAATAAAATAAATAACCATCTCAACCTAAGCACTTGCTTTTAAACGGAGGTTACCATCTGTCGTGTTCACAGAGGTCACCTTACTGGTCAGAGGTCAAACACGCTCTGATTGATGCAGATGGTCCTTTAAATCCAGGAACATCGCAAACGTAATTTCTATAGAAACCAGAAGCCTCTACTGCAGCCTGTCAGCAGGTATGATTTAATTACAGCTGCTTTGTAGAGGTCCTGCTTTCTAACCATTATGCCAATTTGTAAGACTTAAAACATCCAACAAAGCTTCGTTTGAGCTGATTACATCAACAGGAAAGAAACCATAACATACGAGTAAAAGAAAACAAAACCCACTTTGATCTTACCTTCAGGTCTTTGGTGTGTTTGTCCACTAGCATCTGAACGTTGAGACTCTGCTCTTTCTGGGCAGCGTTGGCTATGACTTGCTGCTCTGCAGCTGACATCATCTCCGCCCGCAGCTCCAACAGAGCCTTACTGAGAGCCTGACAGGAGATGAAACAAACAGACCCTGGTGTTCAGTAATGCAATAAACGTGGCCTGATCCTTGGCGGTGCCCAGAAAATCACGTTTGATTCATACAAAGGCATACAGAGTCATCTTCTTCAGTCAACACAAAAGTAAAACACAATCATTTTAGCTGCAATATGCCAAGAATTTTTGTACTGGCCTTGTCTGGCCACATTGGTTTCACACAGCTGGAACCTGTAGCAGCAACAGAATCTCTGCTTTTTGTTCGCTGGATTGATTTACTTTGAAGCCGAAACAAAACACAGGACATGCCTCGAAAATATTCGATTAGGGTGCATCCGGAAAGCGTTCATGTCATTTCACTTTTTCCACATTTTGTTGTGTTGTGGCCTTACTCCGAAATTGTACTGAATTAAAACTCTTCCCTCAAAAATTCTCCACATGAATACCCCTTTATTATGGCAATGTGGAAGAACTTTTTGGAGCGTTATGTAAATTTATTAAAATCAGAAAACCAAGAAATCACATTTCCTTAAGTTTTCAAAGCTTTTGTTGATCCACTGATAATCCTCAAGATGTTTCTGCAACTTAAACATAATCTACCTGTGATAAATCCTGTTTCCTGGACTTGATTTGGAAAGGCGCACACCTGTCTTTACAAATAAGGCCACTCGGTTGACAGTGCAGGTCAGAGGTCAAACACTAAATATGAAATCAAAGGAACTGTCTGTAAATGTTTGATTGTCTTGAGGAACAAAGATCCAGAAGCATTAGAGAAGAACAGACCAAAACAGGTGGATGTGAATACTGGTGTAAATGTGATTTCTTATTTGTCTTTTAATAAATTTGCGAAACGCTCAAAATTTTTGTTTTACAGATTCTCAAAATGGAGTATTTGTGTGTAAAATTTTAAGGAAAGACATTAAAGCGGCAGTATTATGCTCTAGCTATCAACTTCTACATATCAAGTAGAAGACCACATTGGCAATTAGTCAAACAATTACTGTAAAGTAAAAAAAAAAAAAGAAAAACTGGTAAAAGACCTTGAGCTGTTTCTCCTTCTGAGTGAGTTGTGCTTTGAGGCGTTCCACCAGGTTTTTCATGGTGTTGCTCGGGGAGCGAACGTTGGCCTCCTTCTGAGCTTCCAGCTCGGAGCGCAGGAAGCTCATCTCCTTCTCCATCTGAGCCAGCTGACTCCTACTGTCCTCCACCTCACCGCCCAGAGCCTTCACCTGGGCAACGTAGTTCTCCTCCAGCCTGGAACAAATCCCCTCTTTGTTAGCATCTTAACTAGAAATAAATCTCTGGTCCACATTCTATTACATTAACTTTACAATTGATACAAAGTTAGAGAGTAAATGGCTGAGCATGATCTGTGTGAGTGTAGAAATATGTTGTTTACTCTGGGTTGCAAGAAGAAGAATTATGTTCTTTCTGGTCAGGAAATAAATGAACTCAGATGTTTTTATAGATTCGCTGTAGACGTTGGGTGTAAATATGAGCTTGAAAAGAGGAGAAATACAATTATTGAGAAAAACTTTGGCATGATCTTACATGTAACCTCTTTTGTTTTTTGCATTGATACACTTTATTTTTAAAATTTATTTATTTATTTTATTATTTTTATTGTTGGAACCTTGTAACAAAATTTTTCTCCATATGTACATTTTAAATGCAACAAGCGGCTCTGGAGCCAGATGTGGCTATTTGGCCCTTTCAATGTGGCTCCTACTAAATCTAAAAGGAAATGGAAATGTTTTAAATTATAAAGCCAGTAATTATGTGCATGTTTTTTTCAATTAAAAGTAATTAAATGTTTTCTAACTTCAAACTATCTGCTTTATATTTTTAAGTGGGCTACCAAACTTTCATTTCCCAGCTCTGTCAGTTGACCTCATCTTACAATGTTTATAGTTTTTACTTCCTTTGACTCATTTTGTTCCAAATATTTGAGGAAAAAATAATACATTCCTCTTTAATTTCTTTAGATGAGAAAAAGATAAACACAATTTTATGTAGTATGTACTTATAAAATCTATTTTTTATCGTCTAATATTTTCCTTAGCCCACAAGACAGGTTTTCTACAGGATTTAAATCTGAACAAAGATAGCTGATTATATATCTGATTAATTAGTTGTGTTGTTCTGCGATTTATTTCAAATGCATTACTAGAATTTTGTGTTTGTGTTTTGCGCTCGCTCTCCAGTGCCTGACATAACTGTGTCCCGGTGCACTACTGAACTTTAGATAACCCTCTTTAATCTGATTTTCTCCTGACCTCTTAAAACCTAGTCTTTTAATTTACCCTAAGTAAGTGGTCTAAATAATCTTTTTTCCCCTCAAAGTCTTACATTAGTTGGTTCCATCTGCTTAAAAACAAAAGGGTGAGAAGCTTAAATTGAGTGAAAAAACCAAATCTAATTTTCCACTCCACATCTGAGAAACCACAAGACGGCTGGAACAATGTTCTCCGGATCAAAGCAGAGATGCTTCCCTGTCATGCACAGGGCAACCAGGGCAAAGGATCACCTTTGACCTTCTGTGGAAAATGGTTAACATTACTTAACTTTGCTTACTTTACAGAACTTTAAAAAAAGCAAAAGCAAAGGAGTTGGATTAACAGTGATGAATATATGTGTGTGTGTGTGT